TCTGTGGCTGAAGGTGGTTGATGGGAATTCAGATAACAAGGCTATAATTTGCTGATAAGAGGGGAAACAGACAGAATTTCCTTAGTCATTTATTCGAGTGTACGAGATGTTGAGTTCGGCAACGCTTTGAAAAAAATTGTAGCATGATGCTTCTTTGTATTTTAAGACCACGTCAGTACCTTAAACGCAAAGCAGGAAGTTATATTTATAATGGCACATATCAAACAATCGCACCACTGTGTAAAACTGGGTGTCATGAATTATCATAAATCTTCTACTACACGCATACATATAGTCTGTTGATTAATTAACACTCATCCAGATGTGGGAAATGAAAAGGTTGACCCCGGCATGAAAATCAGTGTAAAAATCAGCAATGCACCGTCCTTAAATCTGAATATCTGCCTCTATCTATCCACATCCCAGTGAAATTACAGAAGAAACTCTATATACAATACATATAAAAACAAGGACTGGACAAAGAAAATCGATACATATCAGTATTACTTTCATACCAGATCTGGTCAAGGTGTTGGTCAGATGCATCACTTTGCTTTATTTCGTAAGAGAACCATCTCATTATATGAACAATAAGGGTGAATTAAATTTGTCGAGCAGTCATTTCTCACATCTTATAAAGTAGGGACCAGTTGGGGCAACCTTGATCCCACTTAATGGGCTGTTTTAGCCTTCTCTGGTGGGACGCAATGCACTGTCTTAACTTCAAAATTCTCACCACACAATGAAGAACAGCAAGGACTACATACCAAACTGCCTCTATAAACCTCTATACTTCTACCTCTCTATACCTCTAAGATACTATACATAACACTCACCTGTTGTCGTTAACGATAATTGGGTCACCAGTATAACAACTACCTGTACTAGAAGCACACACTTTTTACAAAGATCCAGATTCAAAATGCGTTGGTCCGCCATTACTGGTATTTGCCGCTTATATTATCCGAAAACATCACCGATTTAGGGAAAAGTCCCTTTAAGGTAACAACAACCTCGAGTACAATGTAAGACTGGCCCCGAATCAAAACAATAGACACAGGTAACAAGCAGGTGAGAAATATCATTTATAGGTCACGACTCAATTTACATGACAAACACACGCAGCAGTTGAGTGAGTCTGCGGCGCGACGACAAAACGAACATTTGAAAAAATTTTACACCCTTTTTATTTCTATTTCATTTATTTAATACTGCAAGGTAGTATTCAAAGCATACATACATGTTGCGCCGATCAATCACATCTGCTGATCAATCGCAAAACTCCAGGAAGAAGAATAGAAACAAAATCTTAAGGTGACAAGTATGCGGGTCAATTGGGCCAGGGTATACCCTTGTCACAATAATAAACAATATTCCACCAGGTACTTAACGCAGGTAAAGCCTCATAACACCTTGTGTTATAAATTGCCGAGACTTTACTGTATATTAATGTCCATATCCTTGGGAAAACTGTGCGTGTCCTCCCTCGCATCTTGCAGTATGTCGTCAAAGGCATTCCGCCCGCGTTTGGTTTTCCCAACATGTAATGTTTTATGATTTCTGTTGGGTATTTCACTAAATTCACTGTGATTTCTTTCGTCTTCTTAAGATTAAGTTCAAAGTGGCTTTCCAAGCACCATGAAACTTGATTCTGTTAATCAGACCCAGAAGTACTTCACGGTAGCGCAGGTAGCACAATGTATCCTCTACCAGGGCCGCAGCTATTATTGTGGACATTTCTGGCTGAAGCGTCAGTTACAACTTGAGCATCAAAGTTAGGGATGTACTCTGCATCTGCGGAAGGAGCGAGTAGTTCTTCGTCATCGGGAACTTTAAATTTAATACCATGGACATAAGTAAAATTCAGAATTGTGGCTCATTTTTTGATGTAATAAATTTTTCGTTTCCACATACATTTTAGTCAATTTGGCCGATATATTGGTATCAACTACACCACGCGGTCGTAGGTTATTTGGTCTTTGTACCAAAATTGGGCAATGGACGGCTTAAAATTTGTAAAGATTATCAATTAATTTTAGCCCAAGTTCGTTTCAGTTAGAATTGGTGAATTATTTTATAATTTTTGTAAAACCACTTTTCCCAAAACTCAAATGTATCTGTCGGAGATACATTTTACACAGAATAAAAAAGGCTTTGCACTTGGAATTACATTTTCCCCATATGAAACATTAAGATATGCTACACTGGACATGGTATCAATAGTCAGATATAACAAATGTCATCATATACGTACATCTCTCCTTTAATATATGAAAGAAAAAGCAGTTGTAAAAATCAAGATATAAATAAATTGACCCATTTATTCACAACTGACAAAAGAAGATACATAAATGTCATAAATTTAAACTAAGGGAAATTTAGAATTCTAGTTTCTTCTGTTTAAATTAACTACATAGGACACATCTGTTACAAAATACAATGGAACAGAGATCACGTCATAGACGGCACTTAATAAATTCTTTTTTATAGATAGGAGACCCATTTAACATCATGGAAACAATTATACAAAGTTCAAGATGGTGCAAATCAAAGTATTTTCATTTGTGTCCCGTTTTCTTGTTATGTACCCCTCTCCGGGTAGGCCTATATAATGTACACGCCCTCTTCCCTACTGCCCATTCAATTGAAACAATCGATCGGGTGTTCTTGCTGTCTACTTCTTGTCATTCTGTTTATCTAAAATAGACAATTACAAAACAAGCACATTTACCCTAAGTCAAAAGTACCAGAAAGGTCCTTTTCAATCATTTATGCAGTTTCAAAAAAAGTAAGTCGAAAAATAAAAATATTTGAATGTTTTTAGGAACAATTAAAAAAATTTCATGATTTAGTTCTTTTCGCTTCGATTTCTATCCACTGAACTTA